GTTTGCTTTTAACTTTAGAGTTTTTGTATTGTAGGATATTGAGGCAAAAAAAGAAGCCCAGAAAGAAAAAGAAATTGATGAACAGGAAGCAAATGCTTCAACACTTCATAGGAGCAGGACTCCATTAGACAAAGACCTTATTAATACTGGGATCTATGAGTCTGCAGGGAAGCAGAGTTTACCTTTGGTTCAACTGATTCAGCAATTACTGAGGTATTCTTTGTTTTAAACATGTCATGATCATGGTCTTTATTTTTCCTACAAAAGAAAATCCCTTTAGATTCATCCTACTGTGAAGCATGGAGCTAAATAACAGTAAATGATCCCTGGTGATAGAGTATGCTTTCAGTCTTTTCCCATCAGTCCTTCTGCCTCCTGAAACTAGAAATATTGAACATATGCTTATTCTGTTTACCTTAGTGTAGCTTTCTGGTTTTATCTTTGTTTTAATGAATAGAAAAGATGAAGACTCTGTGTAGGGGTCCCTCGCTTTCCCGTGGGGAGGAAGGCCACTCTGCATCGCTGTATTGGGCAGTAACTGTAGGGCTTGGGTCATGCTGGCGGGGCCGAGCCGTAAGTAGTCTATAGTTCTGTGTCCGTCTAACAGAGGAAAACAAGCAATAACAGTTTTATGCTCTTGGCCCCACCCTTGGCCTAAGCCTCCTGGCCAAGGCAGCCAGCAAGAATATATAGTCTGGGTCTCTAGCCCTTTGGGTGAGGCAGAGCAGGGAGCAGGATGTGGCCTCCGCTTGTAGGCTAAGGCAGCCAGCAAACACACAGTCTAGGAGTTCAGGTAGGGGTGAGCATCCACACCGTCTAGGGGAGCACCAACTGAGTCTAGCGTCTTAGCTTGATGGATGGTAGATTCACACAGGCCTCCTGGCCTAGGGTGGGGAGTCTGCTGCTCAAGGGTGGGGTGGTAAGGGGACGCGGGCCTGCCCAACTCCACCGCGTCCTAGCTCAGGGCCCTAACAGTGGCGGCGTGGTCCACCACTGGGCCAGTGGGGATCCAGCTACAACATGCTGACCTAGAGTCAGTCAGCAAGGTAGCCGGACAGTCGTTGGCTGTCCCTGGGGTCATACTTCCTCGGGGTTGGGTACCTCTATAATGCACAGGTCCTCTTGCTCCTCGGGATACACAGCGGATGGCAGTCCTGGCAACTTGTCTTCAGGCCCAGTCTTCTCTGGGGGCAGGGTGCTGCAGAATGCCGATTCAGCTCTAGAGTGCCGCAGCAAAGTGGAGGCATCTGTCTCCTTCCCTGGCTCCTCCTCAACAGAGCTGCCGAGCCATCCCTTTATACTTCCAGTCCCGTCCTGATACGTCCAGCAAGGGTGGGTGGAGCGTAGTCCCTCGCTCTCCAGTCCAGAGGGAGGTCATTTGGCCTCGCTGCACTCTGCAATAGGTATTTTTAGATCTAGGGAGAGCTACTGTTCTTTTGCTCCCAGGCCTTGTGGTACTTCGTCCTCCACCTCAGAGTTCATAATAGAGGAAGAGCAGAACTGACAGCCAGGTGTTCCACAAAAAAGTCAGCAATGGCTTTGGAAAAATATATTACTAGCCTTACTTCTGCTAAACATCAATTCTAGGGCTTGAGGGAGGAAGAAAGTTGGGTGTTCGATTCTTTCCACTATGCGGGAGTCTCAGATAAGCAGGGATCCTAGTTTTCTGTGATTTAAAAAAAAATCCATAAAATTCTCCGATTTAAAAAAAACATAAAAATCTGCATTTTTCAGCAATTAAAATGAAATCTGTCAGCGGGAGCCCTGCTGCCCTGGGCTGAAAAGCATCAATTTCCCATATTCCTGGGTGTGCGCTGGGGGGCACTGGATTCTACTGTATGTTTTTATTTTTTCACTATGTAAAAACTGAAGATTCTCTGTAAAAATGCAAATTCTGCATTTTTCCATGTTTTCCCCTGGGAAACTGATTTCTAGGATCCCTGTAGATAAGTGATCAGTGTAGCAAGCCTGGTCCTTGCTACCTCCTGTGAGCCACATGAGTACTTTGTGGGCTAACAGAAATAAAGGGGTGAGAAAATTTGAGAACTTTTACAACACTCATCACATTGATGTGACTGTGTAACAAGGAAATCGTTTATAACTGGGACTTTAAAACATATGCCACCCCACAGCTTTCTTCTATATAACATTCTATTTCACATTGTTCAGCTCATTAAATCTTTTGCATCATAGTAAATTATGGAGATAAGGGTGTGGTGGTTGAGTCCCATTTACAGAAACAAACTAATATTCTTGGAACGTTACCCCAAATAAAATAACATTCTCCAGTGAACTCTCGCATAGGTGTCTTAATTCTCAACAGTTAGAGAAAATCCCAGCAAAAGCTTAATCCTTGTTTCTTTAGGCTTCTAATTGAAACACCAGCTGCCCTTTTAAAGTTCTTTTATAATGCTTTTATACCAATTAGGAACATCGCTTCGCAGACTATAGCCAAGCTAAAAGATGTGGCTCGTCGCATTTCTTCCTGCCTAGACCACGAACATTACAGTAAAGAGAGGTCTGCTTCTTTGGACTTGTTGCTGCGTTTTCAGCGTTTACTTGTTAGTAAACTTTACCCAGGAGAGAATGTTGGACAGGTCCCTAATACATATGGTAAGTTATTTAATAAAAATAAAAGGCTTACGCGTTGTTTGTAAAACCTGTGCTACCAGACAAGTTTGCTATTTACCATTTTCCTGTTAGACAAAGTTTTGTAAATTGAGATACTGTTTTCTTTGCTTCATGGCCCACCTGTTTGAGAGCTGTTTTTTCTAAACTGTTTACCATTTAAGAAGATTGAAACATAACAAACTGTAAATATAAACAGAGTAGTCAAAACACATGTTACAGGAACATCAGCAGAAAACAGAAGATTCTTTCAGAAAGCTATTAACATTTAATAAATGTAAGTAAATTTTTTGTCAGAGAAAATTTAAAAGGTGTGATTGTACCCTATTTAACAGGCCCAATTTTCAGATTTGGGTGTTTATAGTTGGGCATCTAAATCTGTATTCAAGCAACAAAGTGATAGTTTAGATGCCTAGAATATGTAGTTAGGCACTGAAATGGGATTTAGATGCTTAATGTTAGACTCCCAAGTATGAAAATTGGGACTATAACAGGGTAAAAAAAGAACTAGATAAATTCATGGAGGATAGGTCCTTCAATGGCTATTAGGCAGGATGGGCAGGGATGGAGTCCCTAGCCTCTGTTTGCCAGAAGCTGTGAATAGGTGATAGGGAATGGATCACTTGATGATTATCTGTTCTGTTCATTCCCTCTGTGGCACCTGGCATTGGCCACTGTCGGAAGACAGAATACTAAGCTAGATGGACCTTTGGACTGACCCAGTATGGCCATTCTTATGTTCTTATGACTGCTATTTTAACTGTTAACATAGTGAAGCTGGATTTGTTGTCAAAAAGGTTAATTGAAACTAGTTCTTTATATTGATATTTAATTTCAGTGAATTGAATTAACCTAGAACAGATGAATTAATCAAGAACAGTTCTTTTAAATCTGCTTTGTAGGTGGTACAGTAGCAATAACTGTGTTTTGTCCTTAATTATGAAAGGTGGCTAGTCAAACAGCAATAATTTATTTTTAATTATTATTTTCGCCTTTTCCAATTTAGAGAAAATACAGCCTTGTTCAGATCTTTCTTGTTGGAGAATACAATTTTATATATTGATTTTACAGGCAGTGACTCTGTCTTTATTAAGGTGGACTATAAGTGTGCAATATTGAGCTGTTTGAGATTATTTTAGTTGGATAATTCCTTACATCAGAAGTGTAAACTAGGAATGATTGTGCTTCTGTTTGGTGATGAATTTGAAAGTTCCACTTTTACTTTTTTTTTAAATCTGTTTCATTAAATGATGACTGAAAGTTTTTGTAATGTCTTCTGTTCTGTAGGATATTAAAGCGCACTGTAAACCTTGCAAGCTACAGAGAGCATTCCACCACTAAACCATAATCCCTTTAGTATGAAATACACCTCTACCCCGATATAACGCGGCCTGATAATTCATGAATTCAGATAGAACGCGGTAAAGCCGCGCTCCGGGGGGGCGGGGCTGCGCACTCTGTCAGTTTAAAGCAAGTTCGATATAACGCGGTTTCACCTATAACGCAGTAAGATTTTTTTGGCTCCCGAGGACAGCGTTATATCGGGGTAGAGGTGTAGTAATTAACAGTGCATAGCAATATTATTCTTAAGACTAAATAGTACTACAAATGTAAGCAATGCCCGACAAAACAGATTCATTCCCTGTTTTGAATGTCTTGCTATCTGAGAATCAAAATGTATATTCTGGATTCAGGAAGAGGAGGGTAGGGAGAGATTGCTGTTGGACTAATAATGTAGGGATGATTTTTGTAAGAAATGAGTTTTAAGAAGGGGTTTGAATGAGGAGAGAAGAGGGAGTTTGATGGGCAACAGTTAGGGGCGTATTCCGAGTAAAGAGATAATTTAATGGAATGGTACAAAGCCAAGTGTATTGAGAAGGAGGCAAAGGAAACAGCATATACACCTCTACCCCATTATAACGCGACCCAATATAACACAAATTCGGATATAACGCGGTAAAGCAGTGCTCCGGGCGGGCGGGGGCTGCGCACTTCAGTGGATCAAAGCAAGTTCGATATTATGCAGTTTCACGTAGAATGCAGTAAGATTTTTTGGCTCCCGAGGACAGCATTATATTGAGGTAGAGCTGTAGTAAGAAGATAGATTTAGAATAGCCCAAATGCTTTAGTACAAAATAATAAATTAAAACAAGTTGGAAATTTTACATGGAAAGATTGTAATTATCCAAATTCAACTTTGTCTTGGACTCTGGTTTAAACACCCACCTTATACTTTTGAAAACTTCCATGGGATTTTAATGCCACCTGGTATTACATTAACAAAAATGGTGGCCACTGCAGTAGAGCACATCCAAAACGTGCTGGCTCACTGCTACAATGTTGACGTGGCGGGAAGAAGGACACCTACTAAATTGGTAGCAAAACTTTTAGCAGTGTCAAAGAAAACTTCCCTGGAAGTTTGCCTCACACCAGACTAGGAATGGCCTTACTTAGTTTAGGAAATTTAATGATATTACAGCTCTAGATGTTATGGTTGCAGGCTTTATTTAAATTCAGATTGGTCTGTGCTCTTAAAAAGTCAGTATCTGGGATTTAAGCTTAATCTTTTATCAAAAATAAATTATGCTGTTTTCTTAATTGAATGCTAATATTGAAGTGGTGTTTGAGGGGCTTGTAAGTACTATATAATCCAAAATGGAGCTTTTAGTTTATTCACTTAAGTAGTTACTTTGATTATGCTTTGTGCCCCTCCTTTTTTCATAGGTCCTGAGCTTCTAGGAGTTGGTTCTCTGCTAAAGAAATACACAGCACTTTTGTGCACACACATTGGTGATATACTACCTGTGGCAATCAGCATTGCATCCACTAGTCACAGACATTTTGCAGAAGTATCTCGGGTTGTGGATGGAGATTTAACAGGTACCTTTCTTTTTCTCCTGGAAAATCAGTTTGTAGGCAAACATTCCTAGTACGTAATCATTCAGGCTATATTGTTTTTATTCCTTGAAACTTTTAATAACGGTTAAAAAAGAAATTCTCAAATTAAGAGTCTCTCCAAATTAAAAAAGAGAAGAAGCAAGGAGGGGCAAGTTAAAGGGAGAGAAAAAACATCACTTTAAAGTAGTAAGTAAAAAGGAGAATAAACTGCTGTGACTTAGGTCAAAAGTGGCATACATATATCTGTCTCAACTTCAGTGTGAGTATTTTCTGTTTTGTAGGTGTTCTCCTTCCAGAGTTGGTAGTTTCTATAGTGTTGCTTCTCAATAAAAATGCTGGACTGATGCAGGAAGCGGGTGCTATTCCTCTGTTGGCTGGCCTGCTAGAGCATCTGGACAGATTTAACCATCTAGCACCTGGAAAAGAAAGAGATGACAATGAGGATTTAGCATGGCCGGGAATAATGGGTATGTTCTACTTACTTAAAGCAGTTAAAACACTTAGTTGGGGCTTTACAGGAAATTTTTCTGAGTAACTCTAACACTCTCTTGCAATATTTAGAATTCTCTTGCATGAAGCAAAGCACCAGTAGCCTTTTTAACAGTTGTGTTCTTGAATTGTCTTTAAATCCAACACTTTTACATTTCCTTGTTTTATCAGAACTATTGTCATAATAGTGTTTACTGCGAAAAAATGATTACGTTATGTCAATGGTACATTTGGCATGTTTTAATTACTATATAAACTTGTCTGTCAAGAGGAGGGTTGGTTTGTTGATTTTGTTTGTTGAAGTAATTTCACTAATCATAGTGTAAACTATTACTGAAGATGAGAGCATTTGTTTAAAACTATATAGGAAGGAAGGGGTGGTGCTATAGTAGGTGGCTGAGAGTATGGCAGATGCACATTGGCACAATGAACTTTAGCTCTAGTGAACCGGGGAATCACAGTGAAAAAGGGAAAAGTGTTATCCTCGTGCCTTATGGTTTAATAACCCAAAGACAAGAACACAAGTGCCCCCTTCCAAAATATAAAAAAGTAATATGGCCAGTTAAAACAGGCCCGACTTTACAGAAAGCATTAAATAAAAAAATGGAAATTTGGTTTGTAAATGGATCCAGTTATTACACTGCTGAACAAGCTAAAACAGAATATGGGGCAATAAAGGTAAATGCCAGCCAAAAGTTAAAAGGATCAGTAAGACCCCACTCAGCCCAAGCTGCTGTGGTAATGGCAGTATTAAAGATATTGCCAAAAAAAAAAGGTAATATAGCTATATTTACTGACTCATACTGGGTGTGTAGAGCAGTCATCGTTTGGCTCCCAGTGTGGGCAGCCAAAAAAATATGCACCGGAAATAAAAAGCCAGTGGTGTATAAGCAATATTAAAAACAGGTAGTAACAATAATACAAACGCGCTCTTCCCCCTCCCCCCCCACCTATGTAACTCATGTTAAAGCACACCAAAAACCCAGCAATCACTACTTATTTAAATTCTTGGCAAACAGGAGGTGATGTTAACCAGTAAAAAGATTTTGCAGTAACCAAATAAAAAAAAACCAGGTAGTTAACCCAAAAAATTTCAATTTACAAACCTTACAAAAATAATAAAAAAATCAGAGGAAAACAAAAAATTCACCGGAATGCTATCGGAATGGTTTGGGCCACAAAACATAACATTAAATTGGGAAAGCAACCTAAATATTTGGTAATACCTAAAGGGGTCCAAACTAAACTAATACAATATGTGCATAAACAGGGACACTTTAAAACAAAAAACCTCTTAAGCGCCTTAAAAATACAAGCTGGTGGCCTACCATGGAAAAAATGGTAAAGCAATGGTGTAACCATTGCATACAATGCACAATGGTTAATGCGGACCTGCAGGTGGAAAAAAAAAAACCCTTAAAAAACACACATACTATGTAATATATATTTATATTGAAGTAAATATGTATATGTAACCAGGTTTCTTCCTGAGCCCAGTGGGTAAGAATAGGTGCCTTACACCCTGAGGCCTTGGTAAGGAAAGGATGGGGGTGCTTGAATTTGATTGGGTCACACCTTGAGCCCTCGGTACGGTATAGGCGGAGTGCCCTAAATTGAGCGGGTAACAGTGGTACGTGAGCTTGATGTCCATCAGTACACTTGGTGACTATTTATGGAGAGATGGTATGTGAACCATTGAAGTTTGGGACTGGCTGGTCTAGGTATTA